GACCCATAGCTATCACTGCCAGAGGAAAGTGGGTATAAAGCTGACATAAAGTCAGTAACAGAAGGAGATGGTCAAGTTTAACATTGTGGTTCTTGCTTTGCACCACTTAGCATCAATGGCACGAAGTGAGGTCTCGCCAGAAGTGAGGTCTCATCTGCGTTAAGGAAATGGGGTGACTGCGGGTCAGGCGCTTGTCATCTCGGCAAGTCCTGGGTTGCAGCTGGACACTGAGCACAGGAGAGTTCAGATAACCTAGAAGTACTCGGGGCTGTAGGTCAGTTGTTCTCTGGAGCTGCCCTTGTTCTCAACCTGGATGCAGGGAGAAGCACCTTAGAGCATCCCTCTCCCACCTGAGCCGGGCTGTGTGTCAGCCGAGAGGAGCGGGTTGAGCTTTGTTGGGCTGGAGGGAACTTCACACAGACAAAGGAGCCCGGTAAGGTAGGCCCTTTAGGCTCAACCCTCACAAAATCAGGTCCTAAAACATCTCCAGCTCTCCCCTTCTCTGCCACGGCGACCCTGCGTAGCAGTTTCCAGCCCTTTGCCCACCGTTTCCAGTGAAGTGCAACTTTTCTGCAAACTCTACCTCCATCCCCAGCCGCTGCGGTTGCTCTGCAGCGCACAGGATGTGGGCAAGCCAGCATTGCCAAGGCAACCCCTCTGGTTTGATTTCCCCACGCTCAGGCTGGCAGCCTTTACCCCTCCAGCTCAGCCAGGCGAGCCGTGCACGCCGATGGTTTGCGATGCCATCCCAAGCTGGCCCTCAAAAGGAGCTTGTTTTCCACCCGTGGCCGCCCGTAACTCCAGAGGAGTGGCAGATGCTCCCCACCCTCGAAAACCGGCTCTTGCAGAGCCAACGTGGATTAAAGAACCTCATGTTGAATGCCCAACTTCAAGTAAAACTTAGACCAGCCGTGCAGACGGAGCCGTCCATGCCTGGCTGCAGGATTTCCCAAGCTGAGTTACCATGTCAGGTTTCCCCTGACTCACTGCCAGCACCAGCTGCCCAAAAACAAAGAGTTCATTTAACAGGGTGTTTAGCAGCCCGCCCTGAGATGCTGCCCGGTCTCCCAGTGCCTCCCTGGCCCCAATTTTTGGTCCCATACCTTGACCCAAAAAACCAGCCAACCTCCCAACTGCAGCCCCACGTGCATTCGGCACCCGGTTCACACCCCTGGGGGACCCCGGCACAGCTCTCCCTTTCGTCCCCTCTCTAAGGGGAGATGTTCCTGTCACACCAAATTGAGCACCAGCACGGATTTTTCCTAAATGCAGCTTCTCACCGTGCACACAGGCTTTCAGCTGGCGATGGGTGGCCTTGGGTAACCCCTCCGCCCTTGGAGCTGCGGCTCAAAAGGCACCAGTTTTTCTACTTTCTCCTCCCTTTTTTTTTTTTTTTCCCGTATTAAGCTGAAGAACCCCTTTATTTAGCACACAGACATCCCTTCATCTACAAAACAAAAGGCAATGCACGCACCAAAAAGAAAAGGCGTTTGAAAACCAGCTGCATAGCCGTGCTGAAAGGTGGCCCCGGGATTTCGGCGCTGCACGCTCAGGGCGGTGGCAGGTACCTCTGCCTTCCCCATGCAAGGGATGCTTGGCCACATCCCTGCTGCTCCGGGCTTGCCCAGCGCAGCCTCGATTCCCAGGAACAAGCAGCGAGGGCCTTTGCAACGCATTCAGCTCCAGTTTAAAGTGGAAACATTTCAAAGGGCTCTGCTTTTTTTTTTTTTCCCTGCAAACAATTAATTATAAGTTTAAAAGGAAGTTCCAGCCCTCCTTCCCTCCCCAGAAGTTTAGAGGCAATAAATATAAAGCAGCTCAGCGCAGGAATAAAATTGTACATCCTGTTTTGTCTGAAATTAAGGCGGTTGTTGGGTTTTTTTTTTGTTTTTTTTACTACTTTTTTGGAGTAAAGTGTATCATAGGCATCCAGTGTTCCTGCCTGGATAATGAGCTGTCAGGATATTTATGGATAAATGGCAAACCTGCTTCATGCAGATGATTCAGGCCGAGGAAAAGCTGTTCTGTTGATTTGTGTTGCAGTTTAACCTTTATTACAGCTGTCCCAAAAAAAAAAAAAAAAACCCCCAAAAAAGCTCAGCAAGGCTGAAGGTTGGGACAGGGAGCAGTTTTAAGCAGCAGCTCTCACCGCTTCCCCCTGGCCCTTTGCTCGTAACGCCTGCGGGCAGCAGATAGCGGAGACTGGCACCCAGAGAGCCCTTGCTTATCATCTCCCCTGCGAGCAAAAGCAGATCTGTAACGCTCGCCGCAGGCTCCGGGCAGGGGGTAGGAAGGGGATGGATGGGATTTCAGTCCCCGAGCCCTCCGTGGGAGCCTGTGGTTTCTCAGGTGGGGATGGCGGTGATATCACCCTTCCCTGCCGGGAAGGGGAATGAGGCAATGCAGGGAGCAGCCCGTTTCCCAAGGCTGGGAAGCTGCTCGGCAGCAGAGGTGGGGTGGAAAAGTCTCTTCTGCCTCTTGCAGCACCATCCCTCCCTCCTGAGCGCGTGCCTGGCATCCCCAGCACCCTGCTTATCTACCTCCAAAAAAAACCCACCATATATTTTTTAATTCCCCTTCTAGCAAGCAGAAACTGGAAGATACAGCAGACTGGACCAAAATCCAGCAATAAAACATTAGCTACAAAAGCTTTCCTTTAGCCAAAGCCCAAACCACCTCCCAGGGTGCCGCGTTTCATTTGGTAAATCTCAAACAAAAATTTTTCAGAAGGGCACCCACAGAAATTCATACATCCATTTTCATTGCATTTCCTACATGTTATCTTCAAAAAAGAAACCACCAACTAATGGGGACCAGCTTAACTACACTCCTGTGCAGATCCAAACAACAAACAGGGGTCAGTCTGTTTCTGTGAGGGGCAGGGAGGATAAACCCCTTCTCTTTAATAAGGATCTGAGCACTTGTGAAGTTCCAAAATGAGAGCTCAGCACCTACACTGAAGGCTTCAGCTCTTGGCGTCCTGGCATTTGGGTACAAAAGCCAGCAGCCAGGGGCAGCTGGTGAAACAAGACCCCGTACAGCTTCCTAGGTCCCAGGACAGCGTTCCCAAAAGCAGGGTTTGTTTTTTTTTTTCCCCCGGGAGCCACTTTTTCAGGGGCTGCCTGCCAGCTCCCGCCTCAGCAAGACAGCCCCGCTTCCTCCCCGGGGCATCGGCAGCAGCGTGAGGGCTATGGTTAGGGTTGGGTGGGACTCGCAGTTTCTTTTTTTGGGCAAGGCAGGCAGCTTTGCTGTTCGTTAGGAGGTAGGGTGTCATTGCAGAGCGAGGCGGGAGGATGCACAGTGATGCTGGAGCATCCTTTCACTCGAGACAGGAGCCCAGCTGCTCCCAAAACGCTCGGTACAAGAGCGCGTCCCTTAGCAGGTGCTGCAGCAGCAATAAACGTGCTTCAAAAGCAAGGAAGGGCAGGGCTGTAGACAAGAAGGCTTTAACCGAAACCAGCCTGGGTCCCCTTCCTGTTCCTGCCTAGAGGTGCCCAGGAGCTGCCGGAGGGAGAGCCAACGAGTCAGTGGGCATGGGGGAGAAGCGGAGCAGCCCCTCCAGGACATCTTTGGAGTTCAGGCTGTAGCTGTTCAGTTTTTGTTACGTGGAAGCGTTGGCCTTTCCTTTTGCCGTGCCTCAGTTTCCCCTCCTGTGCACATAGGGATTCGGCATGCCCTCAAGAGTCTGCGGGGCTTGAATCCCAAAGGCTGGCAAAGGCACAGATGTAAAACACTGAGCGAGGGTGAAATACGTTATTAGAATCTGATATCGCTTCTACCAGATCCTTCATCTGCATAACCCATAATCGGTGACCCCCACGTTGAACCAAACCCGCAAACCCATGGCATGAAGCCCCCTGCCCTACTCAAAACCCCCGGGAGCTTTGCCTGGTTCCAGGAGAGGAGGAGAGCCGTGAGCAGAGGCAGCAGCTCCCTGCTCCTGCAGGAGGGCTTCCCCGGGAACCCTGCCGCTCAGCAGCACCTCTCCTTCCCCAAGGGAGGGGAAAACCTTACGTCAGGGCACAGAAATGCTCCTCAGCCCTGCCCAACCCTTGGAGCAATTCCCAGGTGAGGCGCGGCAGAGGCTCCTCCGGCCCCA